GCGGCGGCGGCGGCGGCGGGCGGAGCCGGCGGCGGGCGGAGCCGGGGGGCGGGCGCTGGGGAGCTGAGGGGCAGCGAGAGGCGGGAGCGATGCGAGCAGGGCGGGGACGCTTCGGGGCACTCCCCGCGACCACCCGGGCGTTGTCCGAGCCCCAGACGACATTGCCCCTTGGCTGCCTGAGAGGCCACCACTGGCCGGCTCCGCACGCCAGGCCGCTCAGCCTCGCCTCAGTCTCGGCCGGCTTGCTGCCACCTCAGCCTGGCTGTTCCCGCCACCGCCGCCGCCGGCTTCCCGTCTCCATGACAATAGCGCGCCGTCGCCCCGCCCAGCCCCGCCCTCTCGGCGCCGTTACTCGGAGGAAAGCGGGCTCACGTAGCCGAAGGGCGGAGCCAATAGAGGCCAGCGTCCAATTAGAGGTGAAAGCAGGGAGGGATGGGGCCGGGAGGCTAGAGCGGTTGTAGGAGGACGTCCGCCTGAGGGGCGGAGTCTGGAGGGAACTGACGGAGGGGAGGAGTCAGCGCGCGTGCGTGAAGTCGCGCTGCGGAGAGTGTGCGGTTGTGGAGAGTGGGCTTGGGTGCAGGGGTTGGAGCTCAGGAAGTAAAAGTGTATCTCTCCCGTCAGAGTCATTGAGGGAAACTCTGTGTATAGGCATACTTCGGCTTCCGTGTGACCTCATTATAAAAGGCCACAAAGTCCCCGATCTACTGGGCCCCAGCGGAGTGCCCAACACTGTGCCAGCCCCTGTCCTGGTTCACCAGCGCCCCTGTCTGTCCCACAGTTCGAGTGCTTCTGTGGCTTGTGGCGGCGCGGTGTGGAGAGACAGGCAAAGGGTCTGTTTTGTATTCTAAATGTGTGGCCTTCGTGGGCAAGGGCTCGGCCTGTGACTCGGTTGTGTGTGTTTGCCTTGCCAGCGCCTCGCTGAACAAATGGTTGGGTTGGTTACTGCTCCGTAATGTTAGCAGTGGAGCGTGGGCGGATGCGAGAGTGGGTGCGAAGGGGAAGAGGACCCACACTCTCCACCACCACCGGCCTGGCGGGGCGGGCTGCGGATAATGCAGAGCCCCGAGAAAGAGGCAGCCAGGCATTGCGGGAGGAGGTGTAGTGGAGTCCGACGACCTACTCCGGTGTAGCTGCTTCTCCGTCTGGCAGCTCTTGCCCACTACCTCTCTAGAGAAAGGCTACCCCCGTAGTACTGGGTCCCCAGTGCCTCCTCCCTCGCCGTCTGGCGGGGAGTTGGTGGAAGGGAGGCCGGGCCGGAGACGTGCAGATGTCCAAGGCCTGTCTCTCGCCCACCTGCTGCTGCTGGCGGAGAGGGACAGTCACCCCGGACTCCCTGCGCCCTGGACGCTGGCATCCATCCGGCTCTCTCGGGGGCCTTCATTCCGGGTATCCATCTCGCTCTCGGGTCCCCTAGCTTGGGGGAGAAGCCAGGGGCGGGTGGGCGGCGATCTGCCTTGGAGTTCAGCCTTCTGGCGAACGAGAAATCCGCTAACTCCGCGATTTACTGCGGCGTACAGAAAGCAGAGCTTTCGCTGGCGCGCGGTCCGAGGCCTCGTTCCCTTTGTGCGTCGAAGCGGCGGGACCGGCCATCAGGGCCCGCCTTGTGTCGGAACCGCCGCTCCACCCCGACTTAGCAGGGGAGGAAAGTTGGAAGAGATCGGCGCGCCTGGGATGTGTTTGTCATCCTGGGGCCGGCGCTCAAGAGTCTGAGAGAGAGAGAGAGGGAGAGACCTAGGAGGGGAGGGGGGGAAATAAGAGGAGGGGGGAGAGGAGTGCCGCGGAGGAGAGGCGGGCGCTAGGGAGGGGCGAGGGGAGCGCCAGTGAGCGGGAGAGGGAGCCGGGGAGGAAGAGGGAGAGGGCGAGGCGCGCCTGGCGGCCGGGTTGGCTGCGGCCGCCCAGAGGCTCCTGCCAGTCCTCCCACCGACTACACCCCGCGAAGGAGGAGCTTCAGGCGCGCACAAGGCGTCAGAATCCTCAATTTCCAACTTAGCATCTTGGCAGGACCTTTGCGAAGCCAAAAGCAGAGCCCCCCAGTGCAAAGAGCGAGGGGGAAAAAGAGAAAGCAACAAGGGAGGGGGGGGGGGAAACCCTGCCGGGGCGAGCGAGGCGCGCAGAGGAGCGGGCTCGGCGGCCGCAGCCGGAGGCGCGCGGGAAGTCAGCGAGGAGGCGCCGCGGGCCGGAGCCCGGGAGCCGGGGCCCGAGGAGCGGCGGCCCGGGGCAGCCGGAGACCAGGTGCCCGCCCGCACGCCCTCGCAGGGCGCCGCCCGGCTCGTTGGCGGCCGCGGCGCGGAGCGCCCCATGCCCGTGCGTGGCCATGTCCTACCCGCAGGGCTACTTGTACCAGCCGTCCGCCTCGCTGGCGCTCTACTCGTGCCCGGCGTACAGCACCAGCGTCATCTCGGGGCCCCGCACGGATGAGCTCGGGCGCTCGTCGTCGGGCTCCGCGTTCTCGCCCTACGCCGGCTCCACCGCCTTCACGGCGCCCTCGCCGGGCTACAACTCGCACCTCCAGTACGGCGCCGACCCCGCGGCGGCGGCAGCCGCCGCCTTCTCTTCGTACGTGGTGAGTGAGCTGGAGCCGGGGCGGGCGAGGGCAGCTGCGGCAGCTTGGGGCGATCGGGGGCTGCGGGGGACACGGGCCTCGGCTCCACCGCGGGCCGCCCCTGCCAAGCCTCGCGGACCCTGCAACCTTGGGCGATTGTCTCCCTCGGCTTCGCCTGGGCCTCGGGTTCAGGAGTTGCTCGGAGAGAAGAGCCGCGTCTTGCTCGGATCGCTGAGTTGGCGAAAGGGTTTTTTGGGGAGAGGTCGCTGCGATTAAAGAGCAGCAAACGTGAGCTCCAGGCCGCCCTGCACATTTTACTTTCTTTCTTTCTTTTTTTTTTTTGGTTTTGCCATTTGGAGAAAGTAGTTCAAAAGAAATAGACCCGAAATCTGAACAGAAGCGTGCTAAGTCTGTGTAAATGTGTTTGGCCTCGCCTTTAATTAGTCCTCCAAAATGTTGCAAATCCGTAATCCTATCTTTGCAATCCGATTTGGAGGTATTAAATTTCTGAAAAGTCGGGCGAGCTGCGGTGCATCCGGGATTTTTCGGCCGGGTGCACTTTCTGGAAAAGCGCCTTGGCTTCGGTTTGGGGTAACACTTTTGGAGGGGTGGGAGTGCCGAGGCAAGGCTTAGCTTTTCGTTTGCCTTTCTCTGTGGGGAAAAAAAGTCCTTGATTTCCTTTGCTCACCACCCTTGCTCCCAACGCGCAACCACTCGGTTGCGGAGCGCAGAGTCGCCGCCGCTGCCCAGGCCTCTCTCTGGGTAGAGGGCCCGGCCGCCGTGGCCGGATCTGCGCACGGAGGGAGGACGTTCCTGGGCCTCCCAGGGGCCAGGGAAGCCAGGACGGCTCCAAGCGCCCCCAAGGACTCAGGAGTTGGCGCCCCCGCTTCCTTATGAGGAGGAGGAGGCGTTGCCCCAGGGTCTGAGCTCTCCAGCCCTACCCCAGGGAAAGCCTGAGTGCGGGCCTCGCAGCCCGAAGACCCCTGGGCGCAGGGAAAGTGTCTTTCAGTCGCCCAGGTGGCACTGGGGACCACGGCCCACTCTCACTTTCTCTCTGCCCCTTCCCTGCAGGGCTCTCCCTACGACCATACACCCGGCATGGCAGGCTCCTTGGGGTACCACCCGTACGCAGCACCCCTGGGCTCGTACCCCTACGGGGACCCCGCGTACCGGAAGAACGCCACGCGAGATGCCACTGCTACACTGAAGGCCTGGCTCAACGAGCACCGCAAGAACCCCTACCCCACCAAGGGCGAGAAGATCATGCTGGCCATCATCACCAAGATGACCCTCACCCAGGTGTCCACCTGGTTCGCTAATGCGCGCCGGCGCCTCAAGAAGGAGAACAAGATGACGTGGACGCCGCGGAACCGCAGCGAGGACGAGGAGGAGGAGGAGAACATTGATCTGGAGAAGAACGACGAGGATGAGCCCCAGAAGCCCGAGGACAAGGGCGACCCCGAGGGCCCCGATGCAGGTTGGTGGACGCGGGAAAGGGTGCGTTAAGCAAAAGGGGGACTGGAGAGGGGGCGCACAGGGCCTGGAGGTTGAGGGCAGGGGTCTTTGCCTTTGCGGGCGGGGACCTGGGCCCCGCCGCGCGGCCTCCGCGCCTCTGACCGCCTGGGTTTCGCCCGCAGGAGGAGCAGAGCAGAAGGCGGCTTCAGGCTTTGAACGGCTGCAGGGGCCGCCCACCCCCGCCGGCAAAGAGACCGAGGGTAGCCTCAGCGACTCGGATTTTAAAGAGCCGCCATCCGAGGGCCGCCTCGACGTGCTGCCCGGGCCCCCCCGCGCCGGCGGGCCCTCCCCGGCCGGGCCTGCGGCAGCTCGGCTGGCCGAAGACCCGGCCCCTCACTACTCCTCGGGCGCGCCGGCTCCGGGCCCACACCCAGCCGCGGGAGAGCTGCCCCCCGGTCCCGGAGGGCCCTCGGTCATACACTCGCCGCCACCGCCACCGCCTCAGGCGGTGCTCGCCAAGCCCAAACTGTGGTCTCTGGCGGAGATCGCCACATCC